ATTTGCTAAATAAAAATGTAGGGGGGCACGTCTACCCTGCTTCCTAATAATGAAACTCTTCACCTTAACAGTTTCCCAAGAAAGAGATCATTGTAGGTAGAGATTTAGAGGAAGAAATGGGTCCTGGAGAAGTGAAAAAAGGGGGATCAAAGAAGCCGTGACCATGCCACTGAAGCATCTCCTCTTTTAAACATGTATTACATGTGCAACATTGTAAAAAAGGGCAGAATTTCAACCACATAGTCATGGCTTCCTCCACGTTGACCTTTTTAACACCCCTGGAAATGCTTCTGACGAGTCCTCTCCCCGGATGCTAATATTAACTTATCTTCTCCTCCGATAATGAAATAGCCGTCCCAATTTGCATTTTGGAATTGTTAATTATATTTGCAATTCATATGCTCCCTTCAGAATCAGGTTGTCACGCTTATTCTCTTGGCGTGCAACTATTCCATAGTCTGCTCGTTTTGGCTCCCACCGAGCACTCCGCTCACTCTGCAACCTGAACCTTCAGGTTTTAACTCGTAATGTCCAAGAGAAGTGTGGTGAGAAACCATCATATCCCAATCTGAGAATTGCCATATGTGGGAGAAAGGCACCCCAAACCCGAAAGCTACTAGGTTCGCATAATCCATCCCCTGAATAAGGTTGGAGGAGCTTCTCAGAAAGTGAAAATTAACTGGAATGAAGCCCTTCTGTGTTCATTGCAGCTTTACTATGTTGTCTGAATCAGTTTAAATCCAATCTGTGTCAGTCTCACATTTTCACGTAGCTGTCAAATGTTTAATACATTTTATCACCGTGGGAAATGTTCCTTTGTTCTCACGTACCATGCATGTATGTGCTTCTCCTTATGTTTGCTTTCTAAAATGCGGCTACCCCGATATCCTTTTTTTTTTTTTAATTGCAACAAGCACACAACACATTCTGCGGTTCGAGGCATTGTCATCCCACAACACACAGTTCTGAAGGGCGGGCGCCTGTGATTCCATTCCCTGCTGGCTGTTTGCACTGGAGTCATTTTGGGTGGACAGCATAATTTGTTCTGCCTAAAATCCCCAGTGGGTTTCTTTTGCATCCGAGAGATGGTACTTTCTGAGACTTGGGATCTTTCCTGAAACAGCAGCCTTGGAAACCAGCTGTGCTACTAATATAGGCCAAGAATTGCAGCCACAATATCTCAGCAACCAGCTGAGATATTGATATTCACAGCCCTTTCTGTACAATCAGGGACTGGAGAGTGGTGAAATATCCTTGCACCAACTGTGTGCATTAGCAAATGCCGTTTTTTCAGCTGAAGGATACAGCCTGTTGCGATTGTGTTTCGAGCTGTCTCTGCACAGTGGAACAATGGCGTGGAGAAATCTATAGGCAATGACTGTGCTGATGAAGCTCCGGGTTGACCCAAATCCTGAACAAGGGCTGAAAGCCTGAATTTCCTACCCACACATACACATTCAACATATATATGCTTATTGGGAGAGGCCATCTGTGTAAATCTATATACACAAGTTACTTCTTCACTCCTATATATACACATGGAATTGTAAACGTAAATCCTGTTTCATTTCCACATATTTCTCTCCATCCTTTCCAATCATCTTTTGGATCTCAAAATGCCCAGCATTAGCATGTTTCTGAATATTCTATGGGTAAGGGTGGGAGTAGCCATGAATCTAACAAGGGTTATGATGTGAATCTAAGTTTGAAGTACTGTTGGTATACCCAACTTGCTCCATTTCCAATATCATCTCCTGGGACCAAGAAGCTTTAACAGGACATAGGAGCTTCAAGGACATAAGGAGACCTCTAGCACAATTACCTTGCTAAGCCTTGGAAATGGGGCAGGGCTGTTTCCAAATAGTATTGTCCTCTTTTTGTGATACTATTATGTTCTCTGGGGGTGGGAGGTGGGGTTGCTTGCAGACTTTTTTAAAAATCTGTATTTTCTTCAGTCTCACACTTGAATTCCAGTTTGCAAAGCTTGAATGTTCCATCTTCATCCTTGCCAGATAATCATAACCATTATGAGCTACATGGTGAATACATTCCAATAACCGTGTGGGCAGAACTCCTTTAAGAGATGGGTTGGAACAGGGCAGGCAATGTGGTGCCCCAAGCACCAATATGTTCAGGGGTGCTTCCTCTGGCCCCCATCAAGTTCTCTGCCCCCAGTGCCCCCCCCCCCCCCCAAATCTTTGAATTAATAATAAGCAGAAAGGGTAAAACATCAGCCTCCCTCCAGC